TATATATTTTTAGTTTTCCAGATCATTTCTTTCTATTTTTAGTAGAGATGGGGTCTTGCTTTTGCTCAGGCTGGTCTCGAACTCCTGACCTTGAGCGATCCACCCACCTCAGCCTCCCAGAGTGCTAGGATTACAGGCATGAGCCACTGTGCCTGGCCCCCATTCATTCTTTTATTTATTCCAACACATACCACTTTTGAGTGCTTACTGGGTGCAAGGCACTGATGCAGGTGTGGGGAATATGGTCCCTGTGGAGCTGATTTTCTGATGGGGGACCCACAGGTATAGACACACTAAATAATATCTAAGTAGTTTGTCAGATGTTGATAATTGCTGAGTAGAGAATGAAGCAGGGAAGGTGGGTGGGGGGGTGCAATTTTAAATAGGGGAAGGTGGTCAGGGAAGGCTTCACTGAGGTAGTGACATTTGAGTGAAAACCTAAAAGAGACAAGGAGGGAGCCATGTGGATATCTGGGGACAGCATTGCAGACAGTGGGAAGAGCATGTGCAAAGGCCCTGAAGTAGGACTTCACCACATCCCCTACTTCTTTGGTTGTGTCTTTCAGTGAGTGGCAGCATCCGGAATGTCACCCTGCCTGACCTTCACTGGGGTCCCTGTGAGCTGTGGGTGATGGCATCCACCATGGCAGGGCAAGGCCCACCTGGTCCCAGCCTTCGGCTTCACCTGCCAGGTAGGGTAGGAGATCTGCTCCTCTGGGAAGGGGTGGCGTGTGGCATCATTAGTATGGCTTTAGTGGGTGGACAACCTTTTGACTTGGGGGGATTATTATTATTTTAGAGACAGGGTCTTGCTCTGTTGGGGGCAACATTGATGATGATGATGATTTTGTGGTTTTGATGGGAGGGGAAACTTGGCTTTCAGGAAACCCAAAATATGCGCTCCCTGGGGACAATTCCTGACTATGCCTCAGGGGCATTTTGATTCTGCTAAATGCTGTTGTGTATTATCAGGCAATGTGTGTGTGTGTCTCCGACAATTTCACACCATCCCCAAACTTGAAAGAGTGGGGTTGTATTCACAAGTCCCACCCCCACTCCAAGATTTCCCCCAGCCTCACCCATGTATAAGCCCCGCCCATGTATAAGCCCCACCCATGTATACGCCCCTCCCATTTATCAGCATCCCTCCTCCCAGCCCCTCCCATCCACGAGCCCTACTTGCTCCCTCTCCCTGGTAGCCACAAGTTCTCTCCTCCCTGCCCCGCCAGATAACACGCTGAGATGGAAAGTTCTGCCAGGTGTCCTGTTCCTTTGGGGCTTGCTTCTGATAGGCTGTGGCCTCGGCCTAGCCACCCCTGGAAGGTGAGGCCATCACATCTGCGGGTCTCTGCCCAGGTGGGGAGGACAGCTAGGCGTCAGCTGAGCTTCCAGCCAGGTTGCCGGGAGGCCTCGGGGCTCTGGAAGGCTTATAGGCCCTGCAGCCTGGGCATGGGTGTCTGGCCCCACCTGGCTTCCCTGCCTTGACTCTTACCTGCTCGCCAGGTGCCGCCACCTGTGGCACAAGGTGCTGCCCCTCTGGGTCTGGGAGAAGGTTCCTGATCCTGCCCGCAGCAATTCTGGCCAGCCGCACATGGAGGTGAGCCAAAGAGTGGCTTCTGGGAGCCCTCTAGGGGGTTGGGGGATCCCGGGACTGTGGGGAGTGGGTTACAGGGGGTGGGGTGGGGACGGGGACAGGATTTTAACCTCATCTCTTCCCAGGAGGTGCCCCAAGCCCAACCCATTGGGGACTTGCCCATCCTGGAAGTGGAGGAGATGGAGCCACCGCCAGTTTCAGAGCCCTCCCAGGCCTCCACCCTGCTTGACTCTGGGTATGAGAAACACTTCCTGCCCACGCCAGAGGAACTGGGCCTTCTGGGGCCCCCCAGGCCCCAAGTTCTAGCCTGAACCTTACCTCAGAGGCTGGGAGCTGCGAACCAGGCAGGAAGGGTGCTCATGTAGCCTGCACCCCCCAGCCCTCTTGACAGATGAAGACACTGAGGCTCAGAGAGGCTGAGTCACTTTCCTGAGGACACCCAGCCTAGAAGATCTGGGATTGAAGGCTCCCTACAGAGAAGGGCCTGGCCCTAGTAGGGAAGACATGGATGGATTAAAGAACACAAAGAAATTGAGCAAGAAATTGAGAGTGGCAGCTGCCTCCCAAAATCTGTCCTTCTGCTGTAACAGAACTGCATTTGGAGTCGGCTGCAGTGAAATGGGCTTATAGTCCCAGCCACTCGGGAGGCTGAGGCAGGAGGATCGCTTGAGCCCAGGAGTTTGAGGATGCACTGATGCCACTGCACTATAGCCTCAAACAACAGCAACAAAAAACTGCATCTGGGCACCATTCCAGCCTCCCTGCAGCTAGATGCAGCCGTGGGCTGAGTTCTTGACAACAGAACTTGGGCAGAAAGGACATGTGCCAACACTGGAACTGAGTGGACCTTTAAAACACTGGGTGGGGGCCCCTCTGCCCTCTCTTCCCTTTCCTATGAGCTGGAACATACATGGGCTTGTGATCTGGCTTTAGCCCTACCCCAGAGGAGGGTGGGGCAAGACATGGAAAGGAACCTGAATCCCTGAATGACCACATGGATCAGAGTCATGGAGACAAATAAACATTTATGTTTTTGTAGCTACTGTAGCTTGAGGTCTTTGGTTACAGCAGCTGAATCTATACTCTCGCTGATCCCTAATCTTTGACTCTAGCAGAGTTAAGCCCTCAAGTTCCCACCAGGAGATGATGGAGTGATTCTGTGCCCACAACACACACATTCAAGCAGTCGAGTGCTTTCACGTTTTATTTTCAAGTATAAAGGCTTCATTGCAGAAGGGGGCCAGGGTCACAGGCAGTGTGGGCAAGGGGTCCGGAAGCCCAGGCATAGGTGGATGTGTGGGTCAGCTGGCTTCCAGGTACCAGAGCCAGTCCCGTGTGCCCTGTCTGCGCGTGGGACCCTCTGCTGGACGCCAAGAGGCCGAGGTAGCTGTGAGAGGAGCTGGGCGTGGGGTGGAGGCACGCAGGCTCACATGACCACGCAACACTGGCACGTCTTTTGTTTAGGGCCGCTTGCCTCCTCGCCCTCGGTGGGAGCAGGTGGCTCAGGCTGCCGCGCAGGTGCATAGGTGGGCACGGCACGGGCACTGGGGTTGGCGCTGGGCCCCTGACCCTGAAGCAGTGGCTGGCACTCGGTGGGCTGCTCTGGGGCTGGGGTCTCTGCCAGGAGGGGCGTGGCATGCCCTGAGGGGCCCTCAGCAGGGGCTTGGGGCTTCACTGCTGCCTCCTCCAGGGAGCCTTCTTGCTTCTCCTGGGACTGTGGTCCTCCCTCCTCTGGTCTCGGCTCCTTGTCAGCCCCAAGGGGACTCCCTGCCTTGCTCACCTCCTCTGCCTGGGACTCGATTTCTTTCCTGGACTCTTTCTGCTCTTCTGGACTCAGATCTTCCCCAGCCCCTTCGGTCTTCTCTGCCTCCGCTGTCCCCTGGCCTCCTTTCCTCTCTGCCTCCGATGTCCCCTCACCTCCTTTCCCCTCTGCCTCCGCTGTCCCCTGGCCTCCTT